GGAGCCCAACAGTGTGGTCACCTGGACTTTATTTGGTGAGAATAGATTTAAACAGTACATAGATTACCATTTAACAATTTGGGGTTATTACGATTTTTTTTTTTTTAAGAAATTAATACTTGTATTCAGCAAGGATGCATTAAATTGATAAAAAGTTGCAAGAAAGACATTTATAATGATTCAAACGATTTCTATTTCAAATAAATGCCGTTCTTTTGGACTGTCTATTCATCAAAAAAATCCTGAAAAAAAGAGTACAACAAAATGAAGGTTTAAAAAAATACGAAGCAGCACAACTGTTTTCAACATTGATAATAATCAGTATTTCATAATATTACTGTTTTTACTGCATTTTTAATCAAATAAATGCAGCCTTGGTGAGCAGAAGAGACTTCTTTCAAAAAAAACTTTTTTTAATTTTTTTATATTATGCCACATTATATTCATTAATTTGAGTTCATTTTACTCTGACTGCAACAGGATATAATTTTAGTTTGCAAAATATTATTTATTTATTTTTGCACAATACTGTGGAAAATGCTGAAAATGTGTGTCAAATAGTTTTTAGGCATGTTCTGCCGGACTCAGGAGAAGTTCATAGAGGCAGAAATGGCTTTTCGGGAAGCCAATAAACAGCTTAATTCAATCCTGCAGAATGGCCCAACGTTTAGACCAGAAATAACCTTAGAGACTTGTCTGGTCAGAAGAAGGATGAAACCAGTGAGACTCCAGCTGGAATAACGTCTCGGTTACATATGGTTACGTATGGTCCTTCAGGGAACGAGGGTTACCATACGTAACCGAGACGTTCCCTTTCAGTCGGTCACTCTCGACGTCACGTCGGATGACCGACGAATTGGGATCCTACCAAAAGGCCACAGATACTGCCCCTTCCAGTGTCCTGTGGAAGCCACCTGCGCCCCTACTTTTTGGCGTAGGCCAGGGCTTGCACAAGAGGACCAGCTACTGCTGCTATGGCACTACCCAATAAGTAAGACTGGATAACACTGGGAAACGTACCCGTTCTACTTGGAACAGGGACGTTACGGAAGCTCCAACCTTCCCGAAGGAGGTTTCGGAAGCAAATACACATATGAACATTCCTTAGGTGCATATGGAAGATTGGAGGTGATTGTAACCTCTTGGAATGGCAGAAGTCTGCCGGGGAAACACGGGCTCGATGCTATACCGTGGACTTTAAACATATGGGATCCACTTAGGTCTTACATATGGAACCCAGCCTTCTACCGGTTCTCAAGGATTCAACGAGTGAAGGCCTGGCGCCGGAC